TAGTACGGTGCGAAGGCGTCTTCACAATTCAGGTCTCTATGCAAGACGACCAGTTGTGTGTGTATCCCTCAACAAACGAGTGAAAGGCCCGCTTATCTTGGGCAAGAGAACACGTTTCCTGGACCAGGCAGCGATGTGCCTCTGTACTCTTTACAGATGAGTCCAGATTCACACTGAAGAGCGATCCAAGACGTCTACTCATCTGGAGGAAACGAAGCTTTAGATATCATCAATCCAACACTATTGAAATTCACAGTTACCGAGGTGGTGGAATAATGGTTTGGGCAATGAAAGTGTAGATAGATTGGAGAAAGAAGCTAGAAATCTTAATAATGACGACTTTGTCAACATTACTTTATTAGACTCAAATGCTGTCGCAAATTTCAAATTGAGAGAAAAGTCAATTCCTCTAAATAATCTAATCAGTAATATAAGTGGAGACCACCTTATAACAAAAACTATTTTGCTAGGCTAAAAACAGGCCATTACAGAGGAATGAAGTTTGATAGGGATGGTAGAAAATCTTATAGTTATTGTGGTAACTATTTAGATGCAGAGCTGACACCTGCTCATATTTTTGACTGTCCAGCTATTCTTACTGCTCTATAAAAAAAAGGGGGTCCTCTTTTCGTCAACAAATCTCTATGAGGACAATATTGAACAGATTGCCAGAACAGTCATCCGGCCCCATGGTCTAATTTGGTTCCGTCATAGATATGAATCATCATCATCATACATAAGGTATAGTTAGCATGATCAGAGTTGTAAAACTATAGTAGGAATAGTTGCATAATTTGTACAATGGGGATTGGTCCGCTGCTAAGTGGATGGGGGTACTTCCCCCCCCCTCCTTCTTTTGAAAATTAAAAAAATAAACGAAGTCTTTGTTAACAAGTATTGGTAACAGTTTAAAAAAGACAAATTGACGAGTTTTTAATTGATATAATCAATGAATTGTTAAAAACAAGAATGGTTACAGACAGTAGTAGAGTCTAAAAATAAGCAAAGTGTTTAGTTTCCAAGCTGCTAAAATTCTATACCAAATTATTAGAAACCTTCATAGATAAGTTATAAGAGGTCGGAGGAGTCCTATAATAACAGCACAACGTAACCGAATGATGTGTGCCACATAGCTGTTTTTGAAACTTTCTGCAAAGACTGAAACAAGGATTTCTAAGCAAATAGTATACAAAAATTGTATTCTCTGGCACCTATGGCCGTCTGACTAAGGTCACAGAGGGCATCCTGTATATCAAACATCCATTTATTTGCGTACCATTGTCTTTAGTGCTT